CTAGATGCGTAGTCCCTGCGGTTCCGTATCAGCAGTTTCACCTTATCTCTATCGCGGCGTAACACAATCGTACGGGGGTCCGAGTCCGAGCAGTGCGGACAGCAGCCGCAGTGCAATAGGAGAAATTTTTATCAACAATTTTCCACTTTTTGCTGTCTTTTTCTTTCTTTTTTTTTTTTATTTTCATTCCTGTTTAATGTTCTACCGAGGAGCTTTTTTAATTGAAAAATAGTAACAACAATAATAATAAATAAGTAAATACCCAAACAAAACATAATGACCAACTCACATAATTGTTGTAATCGTTATATGCTTGTGCGATGTAATTAGTGACCGTGTTCGCGAGTATCGAACGTGCGAAATGTCGTGAATCCAAATCCGCGTAATCCACGCAAAAATGAAATGGCGGCTGGTCTCGATTGTGCTGTTCGCAATCGTTCTGACAGCGGAGCTCGCTGTCCACGATCCGTACGCGGTGCTCGGCATACCGAAGACCGCGACTTTGGCAGAAGTGAAGAACGCTTATCGTAACTTGGTGAAGATATGGTATGCTTTGGTGAACAATATCAACGTGCTTCGCAGTTCCTGTCTGATGTATTGTGATTTGATTGTTTTCAGGCATCCAGACAAGAGTACCCACCCGGAAGCCGAGACCAAGTTCATTGAGATCACTACAGCCTATGAAGTAAACCATTTTAAATTGAACTGTATTACACTTGTTCAGCCTTTAAACTTTGTACATTGTTCTTTTCTAAGGCTTTAATGAATAAAGACAAACCTGATGATTATGCTACGCCTGTCAATAGTTATGCTAGTAACTTTCACCAATTTTTCGATTTTGACATGGACAACTTTTTTGAGAATGTTCATCAACGTTATAACTTTGACTTCTTTAGAAAATTACAAATACACTTGGAGTAATTTATTCTTTAGACATTATAGCTTAACTTTTCATTTAATAAAATATATTAATTTTATTATTATTTTAGTGAGTTCAATTCGTTATTGCTGACCAGAAAGAGCAAAAAACTTACATTAATATTGTTTTATTCTGAATATTCTTTAGCTTTCCTTAAAGCACAATCTGTTTTGAAAAAAGTTATTGAAGATCTTGCACCAATAGGTAAGTCAACTTGAATTTATAATTCATGGAGAAAATTGTCATGTAAATATTTTCTAATTTTTTTTTTAGGAGTTGATTTTAAAACCATGAACAAAGATGTGGAACCTTCAGCATTTTGGAGAGCTAAAGGAGTTTTTATTCCTCATTTGATATCGATTATGGATTCAAATCTCAATGTTTACCAAGAATCCTTTCAGAGTGTTGACAATGTGATCAGTAAATATTAAAAAAAAAAAAAAAATTGTTGTCTTAATACATTATTTGATTATAATATTTTGATTAGATTTTGTACGGAAAAGTTTGCCTGTGAAACTTATACCTGAGTTCAATGATTTTAATATTGATAGATTTTTGAGCACATGGTCTACTGATAATCGAGTACGTGCTTTAATTATGCAACCTGGGTCTCCTCTAAAGTTACGTTATGCATTAATTGCTCTTGAGTATCGAAACCATATTAGTTTTGGGTAATGTTGAAATTATTTTTATTAAAATATTTTGTATTGATGATAATCTAAAAATTACATCTTTTAGATTTGTAAACTTTGGACTCTATGAGTGTCGATCAACACGGGACCGGTATAAAATACCACATGATAAAGATACTCTACTGATTTTAAAAGAAAACATTCGATACCCAGCTGCACATTTATCTATGACATACATACCTATGGTTGGACTACGTGATATAATAGAAAGCAATAAATATTTGACTTTACCTAGGTTGTCTTCTCAAGAAGTTTTCGATACTCTTTGTCCAGTTGGCGAGAAAAATTTCTGTTTGGTATTAGTGTCGCATAACTCTCCTAATCATGAGGCTCATCGACAATCCATCAGACGTTTTGCTCAAGAAGCGCGTTCTATTTATCCCGACGTGCCTTTAGCCTTCATGTATGTGTTCAGAGAAAGACAACCACATTTCATCAATTCTTTAATTCAAGGCACAGAAAGTCCAAGTGAACCGTTGCTTCATATAGTGTTGTTGACTAGGCTCAATAAAAAAATGGTCAGCTACAAGTGGCTTTTGGGAGACAACTATAACAACTGGGCAAACTATGATTTGACTAAAGTAAATACATTTTAGTTAAAGAATTATTTTGATCTGTTGATTTTAAATTTGTGTTCCAATTAGGAGAGACTGACTGGAGTTTTGAATGCACTGCTTGGCAGTGAAACGGCATGGACACTGAGTAACGAAGCACATATTGGTGCTGTGTTAGATGAACATGGCCAAAGTTTAATAGCACGTATTGCTACTAGAGCTCAACAGCATGTCATAACTATGTTTTACACTATGATTGATTTGGTTATAAACCATGGTTTATTCTTTATTTACATTGTATTCTTGATGATTGGAATTATGATGGTCACGTATTTCTTATACACTCTAGTGTATGTTTGAATATCATTTATACTTTATAGAATATATTTTTAATTTTACTTGAATTATTTTAGAGAAACTGAGATAATGGAAATCAATAAGAAAGTTGATCAAACCAAAACAAAACCATCCCAAACTGTTAGACAGCGTGAACTTAAACTTCATGAGCTGAGAGCCGAAACTTATAATGGACTTGTCCGTCTTATTAAACCAGGTTGTCGCACCATTATATTACTGATTGACAACAGCACTGCTGTTTTGCTGGCCAGACAATTTTACCATGTTGTGTGGCCATATAGAAAGTAAGATTCACAAATTCTTATTAACACAAATAAAGTTAATATAGTACAAATATTTTTAATTTCTGTTTAAGGAACAAGTCGTTAATGTTTGGTTATTTAAATCTTGATCGAGGTCCATCTAGAGATTGGTATTGTAAATTATTATCATTAAGTCTTGCAGACACTAACAAAAGCATACATATAAATACACGAAATTGTGTGGGTACAGTATTGTCATTATGTTCATTGAAAAAATATTTCTGCATGTATCATGCTAAACACCCAGAATCTTCAAGACATGTGAGTTGTTTTTTCTTTATAATTTTTTTTTTTACTTTTATATAATGGTTAAGCTTTTATAAATTAATCTATTTTAGTTATATCACCCCAATATTTAATAACAGGAAAAACCTACTTTTCACAGAATGACACTACTTCAATATAATAAACTGTTAGGTAAAATATCTGTCAGTTAAATCTAGTTAACTATTTAGCTACTTTACTAGATGTTTTTTGTTTTTAACAAAATATGTTTTGACTTTTTGATAAAATGAATTAGCTGTTATTAAAAAAATTGTCAGCTGTTAATTTAATTTAGTAGGACTAATAATGAACACAATTTCATGATGTATCTTGATAGTTATTAGTAATAACTATCAAGATATAATAACTTATTATAAATTTTATAGAATTTGATTGGCAGTTAATTATTTTATGCATGATTATATGAAAATGATTAAAATTTAATTTATGGTTATTGGAAATGTTTTCATATCTATTATCATCTGGGCCAGTAAAAGTGTGGGGCAGGGAAGGCTAGAATTCTGGGCCCAGTCGTTTCAGCATTTTATACATTTATTTTAAATCACATTCGCTGTAGAATAAGATGCGAGTTTAAATATTTTTATTGTACTAAAGTATGTATATCTTGGTTAAACAAGTGCAAGTAAAGAGGACCTAGAACCAATCATCCTCAGGGTCCTTAAAAGTTCTCGCTGGCCCTGATTATATGATGTATAATATACGTTAATTGATGCTCTAGCTAGTAAGTAAATAACCACATTTTAAGGTCTGATAATTTTTAATAACTTTATTAATAGTACAGTTTGTTAAAATGTACTTATTATTAGAAATAATTGAATAATGTTGCCAAAAGAAAGTTAGGCATTTGATCATTGATGTCTAACTTAACATATGTTAACATTATTTAATTACGACAAAAAAAAAAGAAATTTACCCAAATTAATATGTTAAAAGATAAAATTTATGATAAGACTATTTATAATTGTTTTAAAAATATTAACCAAATGCATATTCAATTTTAACTTGATAATATTTTACAATATAAATTATAAAAATATGAATAATGTAACATTTATTTGGCTGTTGGGTTTGTTCAGAAAAATAAATTCAACAAAAATCTAAATCATTTTTAATGTGTCAAAATGTAAAAAAAAATTTAATATTTTCATAGATGAAAATTTTTAAATCTTGGTATTTCTAAGAACAGAATCAAATTAGGTCATTGGTTCTTACAGTTTCATAGTTTTTTGACCTATTGTAATTGCATATATGTATATTAACATAAATTTATTCATGCACCATAGTGACCGAGGATAACTTATCTAAATGTACTATTCGTTCATAATTGATCATTGTTCCAATAACACTTCTATAATCACGATTAATTAGTTTAGTTTTTACTGTTATTTATTTGCAAGTTCTGACCCATTTTATTGTTTTTATAGAAAATTATGAGTTTTTGAATAATTTGTTTATTTTAAAATTATATATATATATATATATATATATATAGAAAAATGATAAATGGAGAAGAGTTAGCATGAGACCACCCAAAGGTGATGGAGAATTTTGGGGTTTTAATGAAGAATCAGATGAAGATAATTATAGTTTTGACGAAGATGAAGAGAATACTGCAGGGTTTAAACCAATTTTAAAGGTTAGTAAAAAAACAATCTTTAAAACATGATTAGTATTTGAATATTAAAGAAATTCAGAACTTAATTGTATATGATAGGATAAAGAAGAAGATATTCGTACAGAACATTTGCTTGATGGATTACCCATGTGGCTTGACAGGCTGTTCGAAGGCACTACAAAAAGATATCAAATTAACTATTGGCCCGACTTCAAGGTGTAAAATTCAAAAATATTTAAGAGAATTAATCTCATAAGATTTCATTTTTAAGTATTTATACTAATGTGTATTGTTTTACCATATTCTAGTCTTAAATGCATTCATTGTAATGTTCGCTTGTATAAGTTTGTTTTAAGCATATTGGTTGTTTTTACTTTTCCTTTGTATTATATATATATATTATTGTGGTTTTCTCATTTTTTGTCAATTTTTAAAACCACCTTAAGAATCAAATTATTGTGACTTATTCTTTGTTTGTTGGTGTCTTTTTTTTTTAAATTAAAAGTTTAAAATATTTCAAGTGTATTTGATGACATCAACAGTCCCTTTATTTTCACAAAATATATAATAAAAGTTTTATTATAAAGTAAAAAGAGATGATCATTTCTTGAAACCACATCCACGCCTTCTACCACGGGCACGTTCAAACTTACGTCCCTTGGATCGCACATACGGTTTAGTGTGACTGTGAGGTACGCCTGGAGCTGGTCCGAAATGTCTGCATGATTCACGAGACTTACGTTTACCTGAAAATCAATACGATTGTTTGAATACTTGTCAGTGTATTATAGAAGATACCGTAATATGGGATACACTTTTTTCCTTAATAAAAATTATTAGGGTTTATAATTATTTATGTTATAACATATACATAGTAGTAGGAAGTAGACAATAGTAACTACATAAATAATATGTATGTTTCAAGTTATATTTTAGGTAATATTCTTGCATGAAATGAACTACAAATTGATTCCATAGTTAATAATTCAATTATAAATTAAAAATATAAATAACAAATGTTTTGATTGATTACTGCTTATTAAATAAATAAATTAGGTCCATTCTACAAGCGTGCAAAATTCTAGGTCGCATAATACGTTTTAAACAATATTTAATTCCATGTACGATTTATGAAGAAATTGGTCACTTGTATATTATATTTAGGGCACGGATGTTGTTGTATGAGTAACTTTTCATAAACGACTCCAATTTATTGGTAAGTTTGAAATATATTTCATGTAAGTATGAATGGAAATCTAAATATTTTAAGTATTTTTTACACATCATTTCACTCTTTTAAAACTTTATAAAAATTCCATGAAATAAAAATTGTCAAATTGTTTAAGTTTAAAGTACATGATGTCTATTGATATTTTTGTATGTATAATCAAAACGATAGTTTATTTTTAAAATTTTATCGGATTCATCATATTTACAATGATTACAGATAAGATTATTTAACACAAAAATAATTTGTGAAAAGTAATTCTTTGACAATCTGCATTAATTAGTAAATGTATTTGGAGAAAACGGATTATCAGTCCATAACACAGAGGTTCTCAACCAAGGTGCCGCGGTACCCTAGGGTACCGCAAAAATATTTGAAATATATATTTATTTTTAAACGCCTTCATGAAAAATATAGTACTGTGAGAAATAAAACAGACTATACTCTATGTCTATAGTATAAAACCTATTGTGTATAATTATTAAATTAAATGTATATTAATTAAATATAGACAATATAACTTAATGAATTAATTATTAACACATATAATTTTTACATAGTTATACTGAGATGTTCAATCTAATTATATTATCATACTGGTTCGATTGCTATCGATTTGATGTGAACTGTTTTAAAGTTATTTACAGTGAAATAGTTGTAACTTTATCTTATCTTTATTGTTTATTAATGCTAAATAAAATCGAAGTTACAAAATATAAATTTAAATTGCGATATATAAGTATTGCGTATTCAGTATAAACTATAGAGTATAGGGCATAGGCTTAGCATGCCTCCAAATTTTTAGAAAATAATAAAGGGTGCCGTGAGTCGAAAAAGGTTTGGAACCTCTGCCATAACACTTAGAAAAAATATTATCAGAAACCATCGATGGTTCCGACTATCAATTTTTCTCCATCTCTAAAATAAAACATTTTTTAAGTAACACATATTTTATTAATAATTTTTTATATACATTTTAACTAATGAGTCAGTGATATATAATATATAAATTACAATAAGTTGATAACTGATAAAAATAAACATTTTATGAGTTATTTTTTTTTAGTGCAATACTGCAAACAACTTTATTACTTTTTTACTACAATATCCGTGCCCTAATTAATAATTATGTGTGAATATTTAGATACTATCCTTAATTGTATATAAATTATTTTTATTTAAATATGGGTTCATATAAATTATAATTTATTATCAATAATCGCAATTATAAACTGGTAACAAAGATGGATATATACTTATGTTTAAAAAGATAAAATCAATAATAATTTGAATGTGATACTATATTTATGAGAGTAAAAAAAACATGCATTATAAGAATTATTAAGTAAAATATGTAATCCTAACAATTTTTTCACTTCTGTACTTTTCTGTAAAAATAAAATAAAAATGAAGTCCATAATCTTGAGATAGAATAAGATGCAAATGTTACACTCAAACATTTTATTAGCTTAGCGGAGACAAAAATGAACCCATATAATATACAACTCAATACTCAATATTATACACACTGGGGATTTGAACCATCATGTTGAATAAAAATTATGAATGCTCCATAGAATATTGGTAAGGGCTAAATACAGGTAAAGGAAGTTTGGACATAAATAATCTGTTAGTGTGGGACTGATTATCAAATTTTGAGTCAAGCAAAATTAATTTTGACAACCTAAATATTTAACAAGCACTCACCTTGTAACAAGACAGTGTTTTTGCCAGTCGGGGCTTTCAATGCAAGTTGATCAAAAGTAAGAATTTCACCACCAGCCTTTAAGATGCGAGCTCTGGCTCCGGATGTCACACGTAATGCACAAACCTGAAGACAACACAATTAATTAGACGGTCAGGCGATTACGGAGGAAATAAGTACTTACTGTGAGCTTGGGCACTTTGAACAACCTCTTGTCGTCCACAATGGTGCCAACGACGACAACAGTACGTTTCTCATCAGCGATCTTATTCATATATTTGGAGATGGCGCTCAACGATATCGGTGGGCGATTGATGCGGGACATGAAAAGACGTTTCAATACGACTTTGTTGAAATGGGAACGTGTGCGACGGGCCAAATAACGGTACAACTGTGAATTGAGAAAAACTATTATCGATTGTTATTATCCCCGGTAGATGAGGGTAGCAATCGCATCGAGGTCCGCGCCGTACGTACCTTGACCAACAGCAACAGATACACATCTTTGGACTTCGGTGCAGTCCGCTTGGCCTTATGCCCACGCCTGTGATCGATGTCGATACCCTGCGGAACAAAACGGTCGCATTAAAATGGTGTCGCTAAGATGGCCACAAACGTGGATCGAAACGGATGAAAACTCACCATGTTAATTTTCCGCTGTGTCCCGTACGATTTGATGTAAGAACGTTTGAGAAAAAGACACGCGCGGCGTACGCGGAGGACGATAAACACGGACGCGCAGTGCTGCCATCCAGGCCGACGTTGTATTTCTCGTTATCGTGAGTGATAACGTGCCCACTGTGACCAACAGTCGATATCGTTCACCGCCAAACGGAACGTCGCGTGTGGTACGAAGTCGAAAACTGTGAGCAGGCAGTGGCGCACATTGGATGGTTCAATGGTGTTTGCAGTGGCGCCCACGTAGGGTGTCAAGTGGTACAATTGCACTGGATTCTCGCGGGTCACGAGACCTACATAAATTTGGGGGCCACTCTCTGGTATCTGGAGCAAACGCTATAACTATTCATCTGGATCTTTAGATCGTTGAATAAAACGTAAAGAGTTGGTAGTGACAAATATGCAAACAAATATAAATATATAATAACTAATATAGATAGCTGTAATCAGTGGTGTACATACGGGGGGAGGACCGAGTTCAAACCACCCCCAGGGCCAGAAAAAAAAAAGAAAATTGTTTTATTATTGATGACGTGTAATATATTCATAGTTTCATTATTACGCTTTGAACTTAAAATATACAACTATACAAATATTATGGTAATTAAATAATTATATTGATAGGTGTTTGATAAATTTTGTTAACTATGCTGTTTTTATATTCCAATAGTTATTAATTTACTGTAATGTAAAATTAAACTGTAAATTCATAAAAAAGTTGTATAAAATAATATGTTTATAGCAGTTATTTATCTTATTTATCTGTACAACAAAAAAAAAAAGATAATGATTATTCTTGTTAAACCCCCCCCCCCCACCACCAGAGCAAGATCGAATGTACGCCACTGGCTATAATAAAGTTTATTGTGTTTGTAGATTGTACCAGGGCTCAGGAAACCGCCCCGATATACGAATGGATATTCGCAGGAAAAAATGTTTGGGTCCGTTCATAATATTGCCTACGTTTAGCCCCTTTTTTGTACCTATCAAAATGTGATAACATTGATAAAACGATAACATCATTTTAATTATAATAGTTTTATACATGTATTGCTAAATTTAAGTTAAAATAATTAAATATATTAATAGTTAAATAAAATAAATAATACACAATTCGAAAAAAAAACACAATATCGTAATTTAAAATTTAAAAATACACAATTCATTGCGAATACTTCAAGTGAAAATATAATACAAATTTTATAATTAGGTTTAATATTTTGTATTTTTGTTATAAAAGCGTAGCTAACTGTTTAATGATTAAACCATGGGTCCCATCAACACAGATTTAGTCATTTCCAAATACAAAAATCATCTTTTCTTAAACTTGTGACAAAATCATCTTTATTACAGTATTGAAAATACAAAATTCGATTATTAATACATTTTACTAACTATTTGACCCATAACTCTCATACTATAAACATTTCAATGTTGTTCCTTCCACAGAATCTTGGACATCATTTAAACCCTTTGAATAGGAACTAGTGTAGATGGTAGTATAGTATTATATAAAATAAAATATATTACCTGCCAATTTTAATCTATTAGCTGTAGTAAACCTTAATTTACCATTTTCGTTTTGGTGCCATAATTGAGTATTGCTGTATCTTAGAATTAATCCATTGTCCTCGTTTAATAAAGATTAAAATATGATACTTTGAACTTAGAGGTATAGAGAAATATGAGAGTAATAAAAATGTTATATTTCTTATTACTTTTGAATTGTACTTTTTAAATGACTTTTAAGTGCCTTTTAAGTGAATATTGTGTTTTTTTTACGGATTGAGTATTATTTAATTTATTTAACTATTTTAATTTTAATTTAGCAATACATAAAATTATCATAATAATAATGATGTTATTGTTTTATCAATGTTATCCATCGACCTTACTCTAATAGACGGTACAAGGGTGTAGTTCGTGCATAGAGTACCTACTACTCTATGAGTTCGTGTGGTCTTGCAAGGCTGCGCTGCTCAACAGGACCCGGTGTGAATTACGCACATGCACAGTAGAATTTCAGGTTGAGTCTGTTTATGGGTGTTTTTTTAAAAATTTATTGTGTGATAAAAACTGTCAACTGATAACAATGATTTGAAACATCAACGGTCAATACTAAAAGGCATGCATTGACTTTAGTGCAATAATTATTTACATTATGTTCACCTGTAAGTTGTAAAATAAATTTGTATAACTTTGTATATACCTGTATTTAATAATAAATTATCAAATAATTTATCACCGTTAACTTATTTTACTTTGGTTAGGTATAATATATTTATAATGTTTTTTTTTCTTTAAATTTCATTAGTTTAAATTTGATAAATAATTATAATTGATTATAAAACAGTTGTGTTCAGTCTAGTTTTTAATATCACTAATGTCTTTATAATTTTAATTTATTACCATTTATTGCTATGTAGTTGAAAGCTGTTTAATTTTTTTTGAAGCATAGTACTACTTAATTTCATTAACACATTAAATCGTTATTATAGTATATTATTTGAGTTTAAAAAAATAAACAAAAATGTCTGGGAATGAATATAAAAATATAATAAAAATCAAAATGCAGTTTAAAATCACATAATATACATTTAAAAAACCAAATATGGAGATCAACAGGTCAAAATTATAATCAACCTATCTAGAAATTATTAAGTCATCTGACAAATAACTTAGTAACACTGTTTAAACTGTCGAACATTAGTTTACTTAAAAATATTAGAAAAAATTCAAAAATATAAACATGAAATCAATTATTCTTGATTTTGTTAAATTTGATATATCTATCAAGTTGTGCATCTAATTCCTCTTTGTTTGGCATTTTCTTTTCGCTATTCCTACCACTTCTACCGCCATGTCCTCTGGAGTTACCACGGATATTTTCACGTTTGCCCCGGTTACCTCTTACTCCTATAAAGAGAAGAATTTGAATTATAACTATTATAATTTAATTTAAAATATATAAATAAATATATTCCATAGTACAAAATAGGAACATACCACCACGAATACCTCGTACAGGGAATGGTGCTGGTCTACTGAGACGAGTAGCAAGGTTGGCAACAGTTGAAAAATCAGCTATAAGTTCAATTTTCATAGGGCGACCTTAAATAATCAATAAAATTAATTAACAATGAAATTATAAAATTACAAAATAAATGAAATACATACCATCAAGCGGTACATTGTTATATTGACGTACTACTTTTAATGCGGCATTTTTATTGCCAAATACAACATCAGCTGTTCCCAAAGATCTACCAGATCTATCATAATGAACTGCTGCAGTTTTCAATGGACCAAATTTATTGAATAGCACCTGTAAAAAAAAAGTATTAAAACTAATATATAACACAAATTAATCAAAGTATAATTTCCAAGTCAACACAAAACATTCATTCACAAGACAAAAGTTAAAATATTCTTAAATCCAGAAATTTATCAAAGAATATACAAGTAGATAGATTAGGTACTTTTTTAAAGTCACAAGTTACTGAGAAGAACTTCACATTGATAATAATATGAAACCTAGTTTTTTTTCAGTAAAATACGTTTCAGGAAATCTATCAACTTCTATTTTAACCTATCAATATAAAATAGTTTTATTTATATTTTGATGAATTGAAAAATTAATATATCAGTTTTTTTAACATATACTTATAAATTTATTAACAATTAATATAGAAATCATTCAATAAAACTCTTCTATTCTTCTTAAAACATCTTGTTCACTAACTTAAACACTATTATAGACAATGATACTAGAAAATATATTATTAAGATTATTATGCAGTTTTTTTTTTTTTTTTTTGTTTTTAATATTTCATACTTAAAAATATGTTTCCTAAATAGTAAGTTTCATATTTAATTCTATGTGAATATGGAGACTTATAAAATTTAAATAAATTACAAAAAAACTCTATTAATATGAATATTTATAATGTATTTGATTAAAATAAACTTTGATTGGTAGTTTTATTGACTTTTTTATAGTGATATTTATTGCCTAATAAATATATAGAACTAAGATATTTTGTAATTGATTATACCTTAACATAAATATTAATATAAGTAAATATTTGCATTAGATCTAAAATTATCAACACTAAAGTAAAACAGACATAAATAAGTTTTAATTGTATAAAAAAAAACATTAATTTAAAAATTCCTAAAATTTTTATTCAAACCTGTATATCTGTAGATGTAATTCCAAAGTCCAAGTTTGATATAACAATTTTATGAATATTAGTAGTTGAAAGACCACCTCTAATTCGCTGTCTTTTAGGTCCTTCATACATATCATGGATCCATGATGAATTTACATCGGCCTAAATAAAATAAAAACTAAGCATTATTTATATTTTTATTATATAAAATTCATATATATGGTATCTATATAAAATGAGGTACTACTGAACATTCATTTAAATTAACATAATATATTAATAACAACGTTCAAATAGTAATATAACAAAAAATTATATACAATACATGTATTCACATTCATGAACATACTCAAAATGTAGTTTATTGTTGGTCCTCATAATGATACCAGTAATTACATTAGTTTAGATCAATTTAAGGATAAAAAAATTATAGTCATAAGTATAAATTTACCATTGTTATAGAGGCAATTTTTTTTTTAATTCATTGATTTTACAAAACATTTTTACAAAAGAATATAAAATTTTAGAACAAGCACCTTGTTATGAACTGCATAACTTATAAATTAGTAACCCAATTTTATTATGGTTCAATGCTTATTAAAAAAACAATATATTAAAAAATATATATATACAGATAATCAACTAATTACAAGGGTGGTAATATATAATAGTAATCAACCTAATAGAATAGACTTTCATGACTATCAATAATATTTTTAATTACTTAACGAATATAACCTCTTTCTTATAAAAATGTCTCCAAAAATCCAATATTATTCTAAAATTTCACCGACATTGTTATAAACCTTGGTGAAAAGATAATCATCAATTTTAACAAATCATTTGTTATTAATATATAGATATATTGTATCAATATACTTATATAAGTTTAAATATTCTATAAATATAATAATGAAT